TTCTAGAATTTAATCGAATTAATTATACAATAAAAAAAAATCTCAGAGAACATAATAATTCTTGATACCGATATCAATAAAATCAAATATTTCCTAAGATTTTTTAGATTCTACCCCAAAAGAAATTCAACAAAATCATATAAATTCAAAAATATATAAATTCAAAGATTAAGTAAAAATCTTGAGATTTTTAAATTTCTACCCCAATTAATAATTTCTTATATTAATTCGGCAAAAAGCTAAAATATAAATATAATTCAATCGAATCTCGTAATTCATTCTTAAATATATATAATTTATGTCTTATTTGGAGTTTATCTCATTATACTTCTCCGATTTTATAATTTTAAGTAGATTTATGAGTTCCTAATAATAGTAAAACCAGCAATATTTACGATAATTTCTATGGCTTTAAAGACCGATATGCTCGAGAATAAGATTAGAAGTTTAGAGTTAACCTTAAATCCTAAAACCTTAACCCAACCACGCCAAACCCCAAACCTATTTCTTTATATTTATCATATTAAAAAAACAGAGCTAAATCATAAGGAGAAAGAAAGAGAATAAGACCAAATATATGTATATATATAAATGTAAAGAATATAAATTTAGGGTCCAATATAATCGAGTTTAGAGTTTCGAATTTAAGATTTAAAGTCTAGAGTTTAGAATTTTGGGCTTTAGAGTTTTAAATTAATTTCAACCCTACACCCAACCACGCCGGACCCCAAAGCCAAGAAGATTATAAATTATATTTTAATTTTCATAAATTTTTTACGGAATTCTAAATAAATTTGCTTTAATAAATACATAGGTATATATATTTTCATACAGAGAAAAGAAAAAAAGAAATATCTTATATCTTCTAGAGATTACGCTACCTGTCTAAAATCATATTTTGAATAATTTTAATTAAGAATATTTTAATAAACTTCAATAAATAATTCGATACATTCGACTCCCAGAAATCATCAGACTAGATGGAGGAGTGGCTCGAGAGACAATTTTTCTAAGGATTACTGAAAGAGAATAGCTGATAATGGGAAAAATGCCAGGTATGGTCGACGCATGGGCATCCAGAAAACAATGCCGCATATTTCGATTTCGAAGAATATCGGTGTTTCTATAATCACCAAACTATTCCATACCCATGTTGTTCGATAATCTTCGATCTGAAATCTTCTGACTTGTCAGCTGGTAGATGCACATCTCAGATCATCGCAGGCATGCCCGGAGTTTCAATAGTTAGTGCACCCTGCCAGCAGCCCGTATCTTGTGGCTGAGCTGGTAAGACTTGGCTCTTGGAACAAGCCCGAATTCTGTGGCCTGGTGGCGAGATCACTCGGGACACTGCGGGCAGCACATTCCGTTGTCGAAGGTGGGCATGATCTGTTTTGTCGAAGCACGATCACATGGACCCTCCAAAGCTCGTCTGGGCGTGCCTCCTTCTTGGTGCACATGGTTGGGAAGCACCAAACCTGAAACGGATCTAGCAAGCAAAAAATGAAATCGGAAGGACAGAGGGACTGTCACATGAAAAAAGCTTCCGTGCTCGGTTCGAACGATTGGAGTCGTCCGCCTCTGGGCAGTGAGTGCTCTTCTTGCCACCTGCCTTGCCAGTTGCACCAGTCACCTTGTCATCACTGAGTTATTGGGGTCTGTTCGGTAGAGCACTCCGACTGTGCAAGAGCTTATGTCCTCCAGCCTCGGGTTCGATCTTGATGTCAGGATTGATGCAGTATGGGCCTCAAGCTCGTCGATTGATACAGCGACGGTTCCACTGCGAAACCATATCCACGAAGCGCGAAGACGTACGTCATGTGAGCCAGCATGTTTTGCTAGACTGTTTCAGGCACTGAGGCGGCAGCAGCAATGCCCATCAACCTGGCAATTGAAGCATGCTCTCCCGACACAGCCCTGGTTCCCATTGTAGATCAGTGCAGAGGCACCTTGGTCTTCTGAAAGCCTGGTGGGCACGTGAGAGGATCCGCACAGGTGATCTTGTCCTCGGGTGCTCACACTGTGCTTTCGTTGGACTCCTCTTGGGGCCACTTTTTTGGGTGCTCTTCTGGTCGAGTCGCACAGGCGGGCCCTGAGCCAGCGGCGCCAACCTCGTAGGACGTGGCCAAATAATGCACGTCTCAGTCATGTGTCTCTAGGTTTGTAGAACCTGCCTCAATCAGGATAGGAGTCTTCCCGTCGCTGTCCACGCCAGAGAACTGAGGCTACAGGGACGCTGATGAGAGCTGCAGGCCCGTCAGGAAACAATCACTGCCGTGCACCTGTTGTGGAGTCCTTCGCTTCAGGCGCGCGGCATCTCCTGAGAAGACCTTCTCATTAGGGTCTGAGAACCGAGTCGTTTTTTGCTGGTGTGAGTGCCGAAGCCCGGGCAGCAGCAGCAACCAGCGCCAAGCGAAGCACCAGCGGAGTGGAAGGCCTGACGGGTATGCAAAACATATGAAGGCGACCAGGGCTGCCGATGCGAGGTCCGGACATGGCTGGGCAGATGCAACAGACTTCGTTGATGGACAGAGTTTGGAGCTGGTGAGCCAACTGAAAGAGAATCGTGTAGCCGCAAATTGCCAGAATGCCCCGCATGGAAGAGGTGTTACAAGCATCAGCCACACCGGAACGTCTGGAGGACTTTTGCTTCCTTTTTCATCCTCGCCGCCACCAGCCCAATGTTAGGGCCAGTGCAAGTGGGAGAACCTTTACATACAGCATTATCACCTGGGAGAGGGACGATCGGGTGACTAGTCCCATGGTAGGAATGTAGATTCCTGCCTCCGACGTGTTGAGATGCTGCATGAATCGCATGTACTCGCAGTGAACACTCTCTTCCATGGGCCATCCGCTGTACTTATCCGCAAGCGCAAGCAACGATCGCCGGCCAAAGCGACGGGTCTGGCATAGGTCGGTAATGTATGCGAGGGGCAGCATGGCAAAAATGCCAGAGCACCCCATGGTAAAGGCCAAGAGGACATAGCCAGAGGAGGCCCAAGCGTCCAGTTGACATGCGCGAGCAACCCACAGCAACAACAAGCTGGAACCAGCCACAACGTTTTGAAACACAAGTACGGTCGATGAGATTGCCATCGACATTGACTTCAAATCTTGGAGCAGTTGCTGATGCCTGCGAAGCAGATACAGCCAGTGGCCTGACTTTACGTTGGCAAAGTCGCGGCCATCAATGTTCACCAAGCCTATGGACTCCAGTTCCGAGTAGAATCCCTCGACCTGGCTCATGGAAAGAGCAGCCATCAAGCGAATGAAGGTCACCAGCTGAAGCAACACCCAAGCTGGGAGGAAGGCCGGGCTCCATCCTATGACGAAAGCGAATGGATGTGGCAGCCGGGTCAGCCGACTTAGAAGTGCATAAATCACCACAACCATGGCCAACAGTCCCATGGAAATCCTGTAGCTCTCGCGCAAAACAGCAACGAAGTGCGAATGAGATCTTGCATCCTCCCAAGTCTCTTGGATGATCTTCGCTATGGCTTCAGAACGAACTGCTCGGCAAGCGAGGACAAGCATCACCGAACACAACAGATTCAGAGCAGCCAGGACCTGAGGAGCTCAAGTGCACTGAAGCTTTCATCTGTGCAAGTCTGTGATCTGTAAGCATCCACACTGCCTGTTGACGACCAAAACACATCTCGGCCCCCGGCGCTCACTGCGACCTTGTGTAAATGAGGAGCTGTCTGAGCTTCCCAAACTATAGCAGTATCCAAAGCTCAAACCTTCCAGCTTTCTGCAACCAAGGGGCCTGGAAGATCATATGCTGCTTCGAAACTTCGTTTCCTATCCGTCCTGCTTCGGCGATGATGTTTTCTTCGAGCCAGTCGGGCGCCGCTCTTGGCAAGGCGATAGCCTTGTGGTCCCAAATCGGGCACTCAAGGCTTGAAGACTGAGGCAGACATGCATGCAAGGGGCATAGGCACCAACGGACAGCAAGAAGATCGCGTGAACAGCTTGCCTTCCATGCCAATGGAAAAAACATCTCACGCCGCAAACGATGAAAGACAAGACGAGCTGCACTTTAGTGCCGGATGCCCAAGCCAGGCTTGCAGAGCGATGACCAATTGCCTCTCTGCATAGCTTCGCAACCTTGAAGCAAAAAATGGAATAGAACGCTCGTGTAAGCTTGTCAATCAATCGAGCAAGTTGATGGAACTTGTATTGGCATGCAGCCATATGCTGTGCGAGCTCACGATCGCTGGCCAACAACATGCTGTGGCGCTCGGACAGAACACCTCAGCCAACATGTTACCCAAATCACCCAGGCATGTAAAGGACCTAAGGACAGAATTCTGGTCGGAATAGACGTATTTGCATACATACATGTAGACAGACAAAAAGACAGACGGACAGAAGAATGAGATGTACAATTGCATACACACATGACATAAGAGACAAGGCTCAGCGACTGAAGTCGGTGATGAGTGGAGGCGTCATGCAGGCAGCAGCAATCTTTGGCTGTGCGCGTGTCACCACTGAATTCAGATGTAGCTCTCACCAGGATGCGATAAGATATGGATCTTGCTCTACAGACGGCGAGGAGCTACGGGATCGATATCCAAAGCATGATCATGTCTACAAGATGCTACGAGCATATAAGCGTGACAAGGTGGATGCTCAGTCAAAGCTGTAGGGATGTTGCAGCAACATGCAAATCGTTAGTGTTGATGGCCTCCACTAGCAGAACTTCCAAGAGATTATGTACGAGCACCTTCCCAGCAAACTCGAAAGTGTGTGAAGTGTAAAAGCCACTGTTGTTGAGGTCAGCTTGCCTGTTCCCGCAAGTATCGTGTCACATGGTGCAACCAAGTGCTGAGTCGGTGGGACTACAGCACCGCAGCAATTATGTCAACGATGAGCGCGCAGCCATGTCAACAGGCAAATTTGCGCCATTGATGTGACGACGAGGCTATACGGGGCCCCAAGTCTCCAAACAACGAACTGCAGAGAAGTGAACAATCTCAACGATGTTCAGCAGAATTTTCTAAACGAATCGAAAAACCTGCATCACAGGATCCAAAAACCTTTGATTTTGCATTGGCCGATGCAACTACGTAATAAAACGATCATACACCGCTCCTCAGACCTCGTCTGCCCGTTGCATACGCATACAGACTCAATTGCTGTACGAAGTCGCTGGCACCGGCAAGCTCGCCGACACAGCGAGTAAATTCGAAAATGGTATAGTGACTCCGGCTCCATGTGTCGTACACACAACATGGTCTCGCTCCGCATAACATCCAGTTTTCTGGCGGTAAGGAAGCAAGTGCCTTTCTTGTCTTGAAGGTGTTTACCAGTTCGCAGCTTACACCCCAGGTTCACCCAGGCTCAAGCACGATCTTGCAGCGTTGATGCTGTTGCTGCCCTCGCTTAGAAGTGTGTTTTGCAGGTGCGTGGACCGAGGATGCGCCTGCTTGCATAGAAGTTTGTCCCTGAAAACGCATCGACTTGCATGTGCTGGCATGAAGTGTTTGCAGGTTACGGGCGTTGATGCCAAAATGAGGGGGCGTGTGGACGTTGAACTGTTACAGGAAGCGCCGACCCCCGTCCAGAAGAAAAGAAAGCAACGAAATGTAGCAAGATTTTCAGCAGATGCGCAGTCGGCTTTGCAGAAGACATGGTCCTACCACAAAAGCGTGCGCAAGCAAGTAAACAAAGCTATCCGACCATCTGGCCTGAAAAGAAGTTCGTGTGTGTGGTATTCAAACTAACAGAGGGCGGTTGTAACTTCCAGAGCTTGCCTTCAGAATAAACAACGCCCGCTGTCGCTACTTTCGCAGTCGCACGCGTTGGCAACGATCGGCAACACCAGACCTGTGCGCTGTTGAGCGCTCAACCTGCGGTGCTCTGAACAATCCCCTCATCAGTGTTGGAATGGGCACCCCTGTCGGGTGCAGCGCATGCCTGCATCGACCCAAGCGGTGCCACCAGGCCCAACGCAAACAAACGGACCAGAGGCGGCCGTGGCTATGCACCGCCATTTCCAATACATCCGCTGCAAGTGCTAAGAAATCCTACAAGAAAAAGCTTCCACGGCCAACGGCTTCAAGATCATCACGCTCCTGTGCGCCAGCGACTCCGGCTGGCCGGTAACGCAACATGCAATCCGGCCAAAGTGGCGAGGGCAGCACCAAGGTCTATGCCCTGAAGCTGTGGCCGCCGATGCAAACACGCCAACGAACAGCGCAGACACTGTAAGCCTCCTTGGCCGTCCAGTACCACAACCTGGCTGCTTTACAGCTTCTCTCTCGGATCATTTGAGTGCAGCACCGCATCATACCACATCCATCGGAAGTTTCCCTGGCTCCAAATGGGCAGCGCGATGGTACTGCATGCACTTCCACCAGGCCATTCTGCTGGCACGACAAAGCGTCGTGTCGGCTAAGAACTTATATCCTTGCTTCTGCCCCAAGGCGAGCAACGAAGAAAGATGTCGAGAATTCTTCTGTGCGTTTCTTGACTCCCTGCTTGGTATGCACTTCCGGTTCGCTGCACAACACGCACTTGGCATGGAGCGTCCGAATCCAAGGTCTCAAATGCTTGGGTCATGCATGGTCAGGCCACTGTCGAGTCCCTGCATGAGTTTGTACCAACACACATCCAAGCATTTTTGATGTCGACTGCTCAAACAGCAAGACGTGTTGCCGCTCGTTGCGTCGGAAAACTTGCAATTTAAAATCAGGCTGTGAGACAGCCACGAACCTTACCATTCGAACGTTCCCGTAGCACCAAGCATTTGGGGAAAGTTGCCATCATCGTGCTGTTGCAGTTGCGAAGGCTCCCGCGAATTCATAGTAGAGCTGCTCGAACATTATCTTACACTGCAAAGGGAGCAGTCCACGCCCCAGCACGAGTCACTTGCTCTTCCGCCCAGTGCCAGTTGCAAGGGAGCATCGTTGGTACTGTGCAGTGGCAGACACAAAGCCTCTTTGTTTATGCCTCCGTCTTGAAGACGTTAAGTATGTACATTAGTAACATTTACATCACTGTGCAGTTCTGCTTGTCGTAGTACTTCTGGTGGTAGTCCTTCGTGGCTGCGGGAGGCAGGAGTCAGGAGCTGCGGGATTCCGTTTCGCTTCGGGTCCTCGGCATCGTACCAGGGCTTGGCCTCGTCCACATCGACAACCGGTGCAGCCCCAGTCTCCTGCGTCAAGGATTGAAAGTACTGAATGCTTGAATGAAGAGGCCGACACATGCCCAGGAAGACACCTCCATCCTCTGCTCTGCAATCTTCCTCTGCTCCTCGTTGTGATACCAAATCGCCGACTTGTACCTCACTCTTGAACATGTAACCGATGAGTCGACAACTCGCCATAGTTCTGAACCGCCTGTTGATCGCTACGAGCATACATAAGTCGTGCTTCCTGAGCATGTCGTGCATACCATCTCATACCGTGCCAAACTGCCGACGGAGAGGTTCAGGGACCGATTCAAGGATTCCAAGTCGCTCGACCGTATGTGTAGAGGGTGCAGCATCACGCATGCCAGCTGGTGGTGCAACTCCAAACCCAAAACCAAGTACATCCACATCGCCGGGACATTATTCAATGTCCCTGTTCTGAGTCTGCTGGAGATCTGGTGTGGAAAAACAGCTTCTGCTGTCAGACCCCCCGAGAAGGTCAAGGTTCCTGATCAGTCCAAGCATGATGTGGTATACTGTACATGTGTGTGTGTATCTATGTGTGTACATATGCAGACAGATGAGGCATCAAGTGTGCGTTTATATCTTCACACTGATACTACTATTATACTCTGTAGGGTTCGCAATCGCCTGTTTTGAAGGCTCGAATGGCTTGCGATCCGAGGCGCTGAGCTTTGGAGCGCATCGGCTGGTGCCCTGCAAGCGTTGGTCGACTTGATTCGCACGTGTGGAAGTGGTAACGATGGTACTTTTACTATGCTTTTTGCTATCTTTGCTATTACTGGTGCTTTATGGTAAACGCATCGTTGTCAGGACCACGGTGGCAAAAACTACTAATTCTACAGTTGCTGGTGCTAGTGCTACTGTTATGCTAGAGCTGCTGCTAGTAGTAGTAGTAGTAG